TGAACCAGGAATGTAAGTCCAATGAGCACATGAAATCAGCGAAAAATGTTTCTTACTTGAAAGAAAACGAGGACTTGCTCATGTCTGAAAAAAAAACTGCCCATGCGAGGCTTCAGTAGAACCCGAGAGAAGCGGAACGTACCATTTCCTCATGGTGGACTGCTCCTGTCTTCGACGTGCAAGTATCACGCCTTGTAGCCATACCCTACCTGTACACATGAGGCATTATCTAGCTAGTTTCTCCGTATACGTATCCCTTGCTATAACAGTCCTTCCTCCTTCGTTGCTATGTAGCATTTAATTCACATCAAGTCACCTTGCTTCAATGGATGATCTGAAAGTGCTCATGTGGAGATAAGAGACTCTACTGCAAAATATATCGTCTAATGGACTCACGATCACAAAAGAGGTTCATGTACCTTCGATGCTCCTCCAGCCGTGATCCTCCACACCATCTTTGAATGCGCCACCCTGTGGCACCCACGGATATTTCAGGCTTACCTGAAGTGAAGCGCATTTTTCCATGATCCGTCATAATCTGTTTGGTTATCCCGTGTTTCATTACGATGGCGGACATAAGTATGATCATTCAATCCATATTCCGCATGTTCTGCGCACAACTCATCTCAGGGCTCATCGGCGCACTTGGAAATATCGATTCATTCACTCTGCCGTGGAAAGACCTTCTGCCGGCTCTGGAAGTATTTATCCGTATTTCTCCAAAGTCCGAGATTATGCCTCATGCTTTAAATAAGGAGGAAAGGACGGGAGGAATTTCGTAATAGAACCGGTGCTCCTTTGCGAGTTCCCGAAGCTTTGTGATTTCTGTGGCATCTATGTGACGAGTGTACAAATGAATAAATATATCTAGTGGGAATTGCCGATGATCGCACGGCATCTATTAAACATATGAAGGCTTAATTCTGGATAGGGGTTCTAGGAGTTCGAAAGGAGATGAGAAGCTCTCTTACCAATTCACATGTGGTTATTTGTAGCGTGCGATCTCCATAATTCTTGTGATATTGAATGAAGTACACAGTTGTAATTGGGTATATGGTGCCCACAAGTGCGATGGTTCTTCGCAAAGTAAGCAATAATCCTTTATTGACACAAAGCACAAAACGCGATTAAAGAATATTTCATATATTTCGATTTATGGAGTATTACAAACTGGTTACAAACAAAATTAAATAGAAAGGTGATTTGATACAACAGATATTGTCCGTGTGACTCAACTTATAAACGGCAGCCATCTGTCTCTGATGGCTAGTCGATACAATAGTACAATAAAAACCGACAAGCGCTTGGGATAAATAGTATGATCATGGCTCGATAGATTCGCCGAAGGTGTTCTCGCCAGAATAACTGACGTACAGGAAACCGTCTTCATCTCTGCAAAAGGCACATCGTGTCAGGACTGGCAAAATTGGCAAAAATAAATAATCACGCACTTGTGCTCCTCATACATCGCGCTCATCAGTGCTCCTGCGGGTGGCAGAACTTCGTTGACGAATATAAAAATAGCCTTCTCAGGTGCGAGCTTGATGCGTTTCCGGATGACGTAGACGAATTGTCCGACCGTCAGGTCCTGCGAAAGGTACGATTAGTCGAGTTAGACACGCTCCATAAACAGGATACGCACTGATGGAACCAGATACTTCTTCTTGTCGACCGTAGGAACGTCTGCACGGTCCGCCTTCTCGCAAATGACCTAAGGGTAAAGGACGCGTAAGCAAGACATACGCGACTGCCAACGGCGAGTATGAATAACGCACTGGGATACGGTCGGCATACTTCTGCCTAATGCGATCCGCTTCAGCCTTTCGCTTCTCTACATGCAAAGAACGCAGTCAGAAGGCTGAATACGCGTGTGTAACGCCCACTCACCAAACGGATGTTCGTCCTTGAACTTGGAGTGCATGGTGCGTCTAGAGAACAGATAAGGGTCGGTCAACGAAGGATGCTGAAGTTCTAATACGAACAGTAATGAGACAAGTGGATGGGATAGAGGTCAGAGAACGAGATATTGGACAGTGGCAACCAGTGGTTGAGCGCTGCGCGGCAATTAAGGTGACCGTTACGTGGTGACTACCCCTATTCAGGCTCCGATACCCCTTTCACTTGACTGCGTGTCGGGTCTTATGTGGGTTCCTTTAGGAGTTCTAAGTACGTGTCGTGACTTATGCTCAATATAAATACTAAAGTATAGGAGTCAGAACGAAAAGCAGAGCATTAGACATCTAACCAGCGGTGCCGAGTACGGCACCGTTATGTATTGCCATATATGTAAAGCTGTGCTCCCGAGTCAATGTTTTGTCCGAGCCAATAGCACGTTTAAAACTTTATAAATATTCATTTAAATAAGCAAAGCGCTTATAAGCTTCCAATGAAATAACCGAGGAAGGCCTCCAGGATCTACACTGTTCGGCCAATAAATTCAGGGACCCTATTTCAATGTCCTAAAAAGGTTCGTAACATAGTTACATATGTCAATCCGGCTGCGGAATACTTCCTAGATTTCTCTCCACATCTCATGGTCCAACGATACTCGATAGATCGAGTCCAAAACCTAAAATGAAAACAAGACAATCAACACATAGATATTTTTATGGCACAATGGCTTTTCGACAGCATAACGGTGTTGCTACAGGTCTGAATCATACTATGCCTCAAGCGCAATGTTTCTATAGAGACCATGTATCTCTTGATCTCCTTTTTTGAAAGTTCTGCGACAGAGTATGAGTTTCCCTGTATAGGGTACCTTAGGAAACTGAAAAGAAAAATAAACAGGGAACGCAGCCAGTTATTCCAAGTTGAATTTGTGCGTCGCCCGCATTCCACACCGGGTTAGATCCTTGTATTCATTTACATCTTTCAATACAAATTGTCCCATCATCAAGGCATGTATACAATAGATGCAATTCGAAAGGGCGGGTCTCCGCGGGTTTATGTGAGTCGCATCAATCTAAAAATCCCGGGCTGTTCAATGTCGCTGTCTTGTTTCGCAAGCTGGCATGCAAGGCAGAAGACCTGAATTTTAACTATGAAGAACAATGACGCCGCCCAGGATGAAGGTGTAGTTAAACATACAATACAGCTGCCTATAAGCAGATCACTGACAGCCCTCTCCAGAATATAGTGATCTATCCTTGAAGACATGAAGCTACTTCGTCATGTAGTCTAAAAAAAAAAAAAATCCGAGATATTCAATACTAAGCAAAAGAACTTCTATTTTCGTACGTGCTGATTTGTTCCTAACCTCTTGTGTTCAGGATTACTGTACACCATACTGCGAAAACGGAAGATCTAACTTGCATCATTGTGCTCCCTTCAAACGCATAAAGTCATTTTTTGGCCAAGCGTTTCTCCAAACTTTCTTAAACCATACAGACGTTGAATTGCCATGGAAAAGTTAGAGTACGGGGGATACAAGTGAGAATGCAATGCGAGGAGATGAAGGATGCAAAAAATACCGTGGAGATATATGTATGGACACGATATGTCGTACTCTAGAACCCGTATACCTACTAAACACGGATGGTTAACGCAATGTAATCTCTGAGAAGTCTTCGGGTATTGTCCAGCCTAGTTTATCACATTTAAAGGTGCACTACTATTGCTCGGTAGGACGGTGTTATAGATATCTCCGAGTCGCATCGACAACACAACCGGAAACGAGAGCCCGAATTAGAGAATGCAAGGTCAAAGACAGAGTTCTGTTTGGTTATATAGATACTGTGTAATTGTAAAACTTGTCCAGAGATTTCGAAGCCGTAATATCTAGTATAGAAATAGTGAGAAAGATAGAGAGAACAAAGAGGCATTTGGCTTCCGTTATATCGAATAACGGCTCTCGATAGATTGAAGCCGCTGCCCAATATCCTGCGCCATCTAGTACGCTTTGTTCGCTCATAAGGAAGTTCTCATGTTCGAATGGGTGAGAAACAAGAAATAGACAGACCAACAGTTTACAAACGACGCTCAAATTAACAAGCCCCAAATTAGCAAGCCCCAAACTTTCAGCTTACGTCCCCACTTCCAATTCCACCTCTGCACAATCTATACAGGTTGGGAAACTCAAGAGGTTGTCCATGAGTATGTGGATTCCATGGATTCGACAATATCCTATCCAGAAGGATACAGACCTGCAACATGTTAGAGTATGGAGCTTTCACCTGGTCGCCATGATAACGCAGCTCCAGATACTCCTCGCTGGTTTATTCTGGATCAAGATACTATAGCAAATAATAAATTTAAATTTAGGCTGGCGATCACAGCTATTCAGGCCATATGAATAACATCCCGGTGGAAAGCCAGATTTTGGACCATGATATCTGTGGCGGTCGCTGCGAGGGCATCATGATCTAGTAAAATACCTGGTCGTGTAGTCTAGTGGTCTCCGAAATCTAATTGTTATAACTGGCTCTATACCTCCACCATCCATTCTGCAGAAGAAGCTCCGTACACAAGATAGGATTTACTTGTATCATTCAGTATAACGCAGGAAGTCATTCATAGATTTCAGACGTTCGCTCTATTATGAGTGTTACAAACGTTTCACCGGGACACGAACGATGAAATGACCCAAAAAGACTTCATGTAAATACTGGTGAAAATAAGAAAGAAAAAAGGGAAGCAAAAAAATACGAATATCGTCTGAATACCTAGAAATGTGTGGAAGGAATATAGTCTACAACACCGGTCTGGCTGAAAAACATTTATCAGAGCGTTCTGTGGCTAGCCAGATTAGGCTATCAGATTGGAAAGAGCACACCTGGAATCGTTATAGCGGACGGTGTTATAGATCCATGCCAGAGTATCCACAAATTATCAAATGAAATGAGGAGATTGAACTGAGGAGAATGTATGTAGCAATGTAAAGATTCCATGGTTACGTGAATAACATATTTATAAGTAGAATTTACAGGAATACATATCTCTCATGATTGATTGGTAGATCATCATGGTCATATACCCAGTTTCTCAAACGAATAAAAAGATACACGCGCGGGGAGTTGAACCCCGGCCGCTTGCTACCTCATGAGTGGAAGGCAAGCATGATACCGTTTCACCACGCGCGTATATATTAGATGAATCACCTCAATTGACAAGAAATTTGGAACAGGAGGACATCATCGTAGGTGAATAAGGAGGCATAAGAAAACGCATGCTTTGCCCGAAAACTCAACCAATTCGAGAGGAATGAGGACCTACTTAACTCGTATTTTGTAGTCACATATTTCCTCCAGATAAAGGATACGTTGAGAGGGATCATGACCTCAAGGACACGAGAAACTTTATCCGTACTGCATGTGCCTTCTATCTTACGCAAAGACTTTCGGATAGCGGCCGCGAACTGTCAAAAGTCTAGTCAAAACGAAACACCATGCAGTAGAATATCCGCGGAATTATAATGAAGTCGTAACAGCCACTTCATCAATCCAAGGATTAACGTAGAAAAAGAGGCAAGACATTTTTTCTCTCTAGCTTTTTTAAAAACTCTATGGAAGAAATCTTGCAATGTTCACTTCTCGCTTGGACTGAGGTCTTGCCACGGAATAACTGGCAGGAATGGAACTAAAAATAGGAACGAAATCGATGATCCATTCCGTGAGTCAATTCCACAAGGACAGAAATTTCAATTCCGCGGGGAGAAACTTGGCTGATGTACCCCTACTTATTAAAGTGGATAAATAATATTGAAGGTGATATAGTGGGGGGTAAATGTAAAGGACTGGATATTTCAAAATAGTTCGAAAACAAAATCATGCGATGCTATTATTCATTAGTGTTAATTCAACTCAAGGGATGACTATGCTCTTCAAGCTTCTGTTTTTGCAGCTCAAACACGGACAACTTTATTTCGCCCAAATGAATGTTCAATTGGTTAGATCTTTCAGATAGTAATATTAATCATTTCCTCCAATTGGACCTAACTCGATATGAGGAAAATCTGTTGAAATAAGATCTTTTAATTTACCTCATTACCTATTAAATCGATCAAATGGAGCAAAATGGAAGAATATATGTTCTCAGACATCAATCACGAAGGTGGATTGGACATGAAAAGAAAGGAATGAATAAGCATGGAAGTGTCTGATAAACCTCGTTGGATAATGTCGAATCACGATAATGAAATTGTTTGCTGGACTGAATGACACGATTCTGGCGGAAAATTATCCTTAAGTTTTAGAAACGAGAAGGAAATTCAAAGAGAGGTTAAAGAAAATTGGTGTATGAATGATTACAAAACCTCTAACTCTCTCGTAGTGACTGGCAGCAGATAACGAATTTATTTGGTCGCCACCGCTCTTTCGCACGTCCAAAGGGAACATGCTCAAGCCGGTGGAAGCGAAATACATGAAGCTGATACAAAAAAAGGAAACAACAAATGGGATAGAGGTAAGGGGTAAGGGCGGGTGAAAGAAAAGCAACTCGAAGTCATGGACTATCGAGTGCAGAAGTCAGAAGCAAGCGTGAGGAGATTTGTCACGTCACAGCCTCGTGACATAGAACTCGAATGAACTCCGCCCATTCGCAACATCTAACTCTCTCGTAGTGACTGGCAGCAAATAATTTATCTGGTCGCCACCACTCTCTCGTGCATCCAAAGGGAACATGCTCAAGTCAATGGGATTGCGAAGGGAAGAGCCGGAGGCTCGAGAGGCTGAGCTGCTGGATGTAGTGGTCCGCGGGCCCGGCTTAGGCTCAGGCTGGGCTCGGGCGGGCTCGGGCTTGAGCCCAGGCTTGCGGGGGAGGTCATAAAGACACAGTCGGGACATATATAATTGCTATATTAAGCCTGAGCATCATATATTTAGATACTAAATAATATATAGATACTTACTAATCACTATAGTTGTTGATCTAGATGCTAATTCACCTTGTGGTGACCCCCCTACACGGCAAATCTCATGCTGAACCAGCCGACTAGTAGGGAAATCTTTTAGCGCTCGGGCCGCGGCCTGAGGGTTCGGCTTGGGCTTTTTTTTTTTTTTGATCCATTACTGTCTATTAGGGCCGCACCCCATGTAAGACGTTACATACAGTTAATCCATCCCTTCTCCCTTCATGCCCCCTTGCTACCCCTATCAATGACCCATACGGGTGTTGCACGTCTCCTTGAGAACGGCAGCTACTAGTAATAATAAATAAAAGTCCTTGAGTCTCTTCTCCCTTCCCAAGGTTGTGAGCCTTTTGCTATCTTCTTCTCTTCTCTGCGAAGGCGCGCTGTAGTTGTCCTGTCTGTTCGATATATTCCAGCAGCTTCGGTATACAATCCTTGTGGGACAACATGTTGGTGAACATGAATAGGTCCTCCGGTATCTCCTTTCGTAGCTGGGTCCTCTGGTCTAGGTAGGCTTTGCACGACATGACATAGTGGAAAGCAGTTTCCCTCTTCGTCCCACAGTACACACAGAAGGGGGTTTCCCAAGCCCCGATTCGGTGCAAGTGGTGGTTGAGGGGTGCATGGCCAGTTCGTAGCTGGTTCAGGATGCTGACCTGTCGCCTTCTGAGCCCACTGGTGATTTTCCTGTACTTGGTGGACAGTGTGGCCGAGTCCGTGCACTGTACTCGTTGAAGTCACCCTGCACTTATTAGAAGTACCCGGTGTTGCTTGGGTAGTGTCATCTTGTACACTGCTTTCATGGCTGCAATGCTGAGGGGTAGCGTACCTTTTAATGCCTGAGGGAGGTCAGCTGGCAGGCTCCATCTCCCGCTGCCGCCTTCTTGGCTTCCGAGTCCGCTTCCTCGTTGCCCGCTATGCCTATGTGACCAGGAACCCAGGCTATCGAGAAGTCGATACCTTTGTGCTTCTTCCGTAGCCTTGTGTGTAGGTCTTCTACCTATCTTCGCAGGTATTATGCTGGTCCCGCGTCATTGTCCTTCTGTGTGGCCTTGATCGCCGCCTTGTTGTCAAGGTAGATCACTGCGGTCCTGGTCCTCCTTTCCCTCCTCAGCACCTCCATCCCTAACAGCACTCCTACCAGCTCCGCCTCATATACTGTGTGTTCGCCGGATTTGCTCAGGTGGTGTCGAACCACCTTCATCTTCCTCCCATCCCTGTACATCACCACTGCCGCTCTAACCCCGCCGTTGATCTCTGACCTATCCGTATAAATCTCCACCTCCCTTGTACCCTTGTTAGATCCTTCGCCGTAGCAGTCTTTGATTTTGCGATCATGATGTTGAAGGGGGATGTCCATCCTGATTGGGATCCTACAGGGTCGACTCTCTCCATCCTGGAAAGGTCAATGTTGAAGGTGTTGAAGAGTTCTTGCAGTGGCATGCGGTGCGTGGCTGGGTAGTTGTGGGTGTCATCGACGTACAGTTGTAGTGGGTGCGTGTCCGGGATCACTGCGAAGCGGATTGCCATCCTGTGATTTACCTGGTTAATCATCAGCCGTATGGGTAGAAGGTCAGAGTGTAAGTGAAGGAGATCAGTGGCTGTTGTGCCCATTGTGCCCGAGGCCACCAAAGCTATCATGCGTTGTATGCTGGTAAGTTTGTTAGCGAAGCCTACTGGACCTGTCACCCTCCTCTGCCCTGGTTTCACCCTGATAGGGGTGGCCCATACGTCTGCTGCATACAGGCCTTTCGTCAGGGTGACTGTCTTGAAGAGTGTCCATGTGTCACCGAGAGATAAACCTGCGCATAGACCTGACAGGCGGCGCAGCTGGATGCAATACTGGGTCATCTTGGCCTGTGCATAGGCGGTGTGTGGCCGGAACCTAAGCTCCTGGTTGAGGAGCAACCCTAGGTATTTGTGGTGTGACACTGGTCTAATATCGATGCTGTTTATGTTGACTGAGATCGCGGTAGAGGTATCGTCCTGCAGGTGCTCCAGGCTGGGGCCTTCTTCCTCTTTCTGCTGAAACATACCAGCTTCAGCTTGTCCATCTTGAAGGTGGAGCTGTGCCGTCTTGACCATTCTAGAGCACCGTCCCTTCTCGTCATCATTTTTCGCAGCCCGCCATTGGCTTTCTTGAAGGACTTCACAGCCTTGACTAGGTTCACATTGTCCATGAATGCAATGGCTAGTTCATTGCTGCAGGGTCTGGCTATATCTAGGAGGTCAGTGTTGTAGAACAGGTAGCAGAGGACAGATAGGGGGCAGCCCTGATCACAGCCGTTGGAGATTGCTAGTGGCTGGGAGGTGAAGTCGTCGAACTTCAGCACTGTCTCTCTGCCCGCCATCTTCAGCTGGATCCACTCTACATATGGCTTGGGTATTCCTCGCTTGCGCATGTTGTGGGCTAGTCTCTTGATGGACACGCTGGGGAAGGCCACTTTGACATCTAGGAAGAGAGTGGAGACTACATTACCTTTCTGCCAGTTGTCCTTAATGAAACAGGTCATTAGCTGTAGGGTGTTGTTGGTGGACCTGCCTGGCTGGCCACCAAAGTGAGTGTTGGGCAGGAGCTGCAGTCACTCTGTGTGGTACATCATCACATCCGCCACACATGACGACAGGGTTTTCGCTATTGTGTCCATCAGCGCAATTGGCCGGTATGCTTTCGCCACCAAGTAGTCAGGCCAGCTGGGTTTGCGCAGGACGACTGTGCTGGATAACTTCCACTGAGGTGGATAGTATCCAAGGGTGGACATTGCGTGATACAGTGGTCCTAAGTATGGGAGTAGCAGCCCGATGTTCTTTTGGAGGACAACATTTGGGATCCCGTTTGGCCCCAGTGCTTTGAATGGTTTCAACTTCGCTACTGCCCTGACGGTCTGGGTGTTCATAATTTGCTCGAATGAGAACACTTCCTGGGGATATGCATAGTTCGGTGTGATGTCATCTTCCGCTCCCGAGCTCAGCACTGGGAAGAACGTGCGGTGGAGGACTTCGCTTTTTGCTGTATTATCCTTCACTTGTACTTTCTCTCCTCTTTCATTCACTGTCTTGAGCGTGGGAATGCGTGCCCACGCCCCATCTGTCCACGCTCCCGATGTGAACTTACTGACATCACAGATGATGTTGCCATTGATGCGTTCGAGAAAGTCTTCCCACAGCTCCTTCTTTGCTTTGACTATCTCTCCCTTGTAGTGGTTGCGCTGCCTGCCCAGCTCTTCATGGACT